GTCTTTTGGCTTTAACCACTCTCACTTCAGCTGAAATATACTTAAAAGAAACGTTTTCCGACGATGACTGGGAAAAGGTATAAATAAAGGTGATGAACTTGTTAAATATACTTGACTAACACTTGTTAATTGACCTTTAATAAATTTTATATATTTAATTAGCGTTGGGTTCATTCCAAGCACAAGGAAGACCTCGGCACGTTTAAAGTAACAGCTGGTGAGTTTTACGCTGACGAAATTGAGTCTCGTGGCCTTCAAACTTCTGAAGACGCAAGGTTTTATGCAATTTCTACGAAACTTGACAAGATAATCGATAATTCGGATAAGGATTTGGGTACGTCTTTATCATTTGATTCAGAAACTTTACAACTGATAACGTCAAATTAATGATTCTTTAATATAGTGGTTCAATTCTCTGTCAAACATGAACAAAATATTGATTGCGGTGGAGGTTATATAAAAGTATGCATTGATGAAAATGCGTGACATCTTTAAATAGATCATCAAATTAATTAATCCTTTACGTGATATTCCCAATGTCGCGTTTAGCTTATTCCTCCAGAGTTTGATGCGTTGTCTTTCAAAGGAGAATCATTATACAATATCATGTTTGGGGTAAGATATATTGAAACGTTGATCCATCTTATTGGACAAATTCACCTGACTAAACTGACTAATCATGTGATATTACTTTATTCACATGTTATTATAATAGCCCGACATTTGTGGTGTGAACCGTAAAGTTCATTTAATTGTTCATTATAAGGGAGAAAACAAACAAGTAAAAAAGACTTTAAAGGCACCATCGGATCAATTAACACATTTATATACTTTGATATTAAAGCCCGATCATGTGTGTATACTTCATAAGCATTACTTCATTTGTTACAATTCATGTAAAATTCACGTAACCTGAAGATAAATTTCCTTTAATAGACGTACAAAGTCTTGATTGATAATGTAGAAGAAGCGTCTGGAACTTTAGAGGAAGATTTTGATTTGCTTCCACCAAAAGAAATTATAGGTTAGCATAATCGCAAGAATATATATATATATATATATATATATTTTTTTTTTTTTCTAACTAAAATTAATTGAATCAACGTATAAATAGATGCCAGCGCTAAAAAACCGGATGATTGGGATGATGTAGCCGAGATCCCTGATCCAGATGATCATAAGCCAGCTGATTGGGTAGACCACCCAGCTACGATCCCAGATCCTGATGCAAAAAAACCCGATGACTGGGATGGTAGATATTTCCTATTTAGGAATAGGATACTTTAAAATTTCTGAGCATTAACTAAATGCTTCTTTTTTTTTTTTTTTTATATAAAGATGAAATGGACGGGGACTGGGAACCACCACATATCTCTAATCCCGAATACAAAGGAGAATGGCAACCAAAGAAGATTCCCAATCCAAAGTACAAAGGAGTATGGAAGGCACCTATGATTCCAAATCCAGATTATGTTCCGGAACCACAACTTCATGCTTACAACAGCGCATTTCTCGGATTCGATTTGTGGCAAGTGAGATCTGGCACAATATTTGATAATATATTGATTACTGATGATGTTGAAACAGCAGAATCATTTGCCAATGAGACATTTGTCAAATTCCAAGATGCAGAAAAAGAAGCAAAGAGAAAATTAGACGAATTAGAGAAGAAAGAAAGAGAAGAAGCTGATGCTGCCGATAAGAAAGACGATGACGACATTATTGATCTAGATGTCAACCTTGGTGAGGATGGAGAAGTTAAAGTTACAAAACCAGATGACAAAGAAAAAGAGAAAAAAGAGACCAAGGTAGAGAAAGAAGGAAAAGCTGAGGATGAAAAGCCTAAGGATGAAAAAGCTAAGGATGAAAAGCCTAAGGATGAGAAAGCTAAGGATGAAAAGCCTAAGGATGAAAAGGCTAAGGATGAAAAGTCTAAGGATGAAAAGGCTAAGGATGAAAAGCCTAAAGATGAGAAAGTTAAGGATGAAAAGCCTAAAGATGAGAAAGTTAAGGATGAAAAGCCTAAGGATGAAAAGCCTAAAGATGAGAAAGTTAAGGATGAAAAAGTCAACGAAGAAAAAGATAAAGTAAAGGTAGAAAAAGAAACAAAAGAAGAACCAAAGGTGAAAAAGAATGAAAAAGACGAAATGGATAAATTATTTGATGATTTTGAGGAAGAATTGGGTCTGCCTCCAAAACCGCCAAAGAAAGATCATAAATTACCGATAAGAGATGAATTTTAGTTTTATTAATACGTGATATACAATTATAATTTATTTAGATATTGTCCTAGTTTAGACATTAATTCAAATTCAATGCGAATGTAATCTTGGCTATTAATATTTTATAACAAATTAAAGAATCTCTTAATTAGTTTTTTTTTTTTTATTATACTATACGTAAAGATAAATACATATTTCTAAATATGAATCGTCCCAATGATGTTGTAGCTTTGCCGTAACGTTAGGGTATTCGATAGCTTTGATTATGCTCTTTTCAACAATAAACTCGGTTTTACAAATTCCTATAGCTTTATGTTCGTCAAATTT